TTGTGATCCTCCCCCTAGAATTGTGTATCTGTGACTCATTATAGTGTGAAGCTTCTACCTATTCTCAGTCTTAAGCTACTCTGCTCCACAGCTACAAAAGATACAGCTGAACCAGAAGGGATCCATGGAGTGCTGCCGGGGTTAATTTAGCACATTCAGATGAAGATCTATGCCTGCCACTGTGAACCATACTGAGCGAGAGTGCTGCTTTGGAACTGTTGGTGAGGCATTTCAGCATGTGGGAACTGTCTATGATGAGAACAAGGTTGATGAGTTGCAAAGGCCTCAGTGCAGCCCCTGGGGGATTCTGCTGGTGGGTTTTAGTGTGTAGTGAGAGTGTGTCCACAGAGCTAGCAAGGCACGAAAGTCCCATTTGACTCCATTTGGGGTACCATGCTTTTAGGGAGACCCATGCATCTGCTAGTGGTTTCCTATCTGACAGAGAAAGTGCCTTCAAACCAGAATCACAGAGAAAGGGTGACTGGAGCACATGCCTGGATCCTCACAAATCAACCTTTAACTGGCTGTGTGTTCATATTTGAATGCTGCTGTTGAAAAACCAGCCTCTATCTCAGAGCAAAGCCTGTCCAAGGAAGGAACATCACCTTTGTCCTTGGAAAAACCCACAGAGCACTCCTAGGAACATTCCCCCCCTGCTAAGTGGTTTATCTACAAATAACAGGAGAGATCGATGGCACCAGGTGTCCCTGACTCAGTTAGGCTAGGTGGGGACCCATAGCAACCCCCTAGCAGCCACCAATCAGCATGAGACAGGGAAATACCTGGGATGCCAGATGACCCTCCCAGTAGTTTATGGTGGTTGATAACGTGTTGGGAAACCACGTAGTTCAGCAGGTACACCCCTCTTGGCTTAAACCAATCAGTTCAAACGAATCCCCCTTTCCCCTGCCCAACTTGTTCCCACCAGTGAATGTGCTAATCATGTTTCAGAGTTGTTGGTGTGTGATGATTTTCTAAGAGATGCTATGATGTATGTGAAGTCCCTGCCTTCCCAAAAGAGTGTATAAAACTGCTGCAAACCCTGGGCTCGGGGCCTCTCAGCGTCACCAGTTGCTGTGTGTGCGCGCGGAGGACCCAGCTAGCTCGCAATAAACACCTCTTTGCTGCTGACATCGATCTTGGTCTCTGGTGGTCTTTTGGGGGTCCCGAATTCGAGCATAACACCATTATTTTGTACTCTTATCGGAAATAAAGTTTAGAACTTGAAGCATTGTGATTTTGCATCTGATGAATCTTCTTTACCAACAGTAAACTGTCAGTGTACATAATGTTGGTTTTAAAATGGAAAGTAGAGGAACTTTTAGGATGAGCTTATAAGGGAACACTTCTTAGAGAAATGAATTTTCCACTGAATATTTAAAAGCTGACATTTATTTTAGAAAACACTTAGGGAATATTGCTATCTACTTGATAGTCTGCAATGTACTTTCACAATTGTGTATTATTTAATAAGGAGAAAAATAAAAGAGAGAGGAAGAAAGAGCAAGAACACAGGGAACATTTAAGCTGAAAAAATAAATACTAAGGGAAGAGAAAGAGGTGTTGCATACTTTTAAGTCAAAGAGAAAGATAGACTTGTACAACAGGAACCATTTAAATCTGCCTTACTACACTCCCTTCAAGAATTAAGGTAACAGTTTGTCTATTCCATTGCTCTCACATGTTGAAGAGTGAGTGATAAAACAGCAAGTCCTTCTTACCATTGCACACTGAAAAGAGCTTACATAGATTCTCTCCAGACAACCCTCTCCCACCAGCATCTGCAGAGCACCCTTGGCTTCCCTCTTCCTGCCAGAACTCTAGAACCAGCTTAAAGCCTCACAAGTCCCTTGAGCCTAGACCTTCCTCCTTTTGCCAGTTCCAATCATCGTTCCTGAGTTTGCTTGTTCTTCTGGCATTTTCAGCCCACAACTGGGCTGTTCTCTCCCCTTCAACTTACAAACATGTTATCATCTTTCTCATCTAAAAAGCAATTCTCTGCACTTCCATTCTTGTCCTAGGACCCTTCCTTTCCTCTCGCCTATGCAGTTCCTTACAATCCTGTCCCCACTGCAGAAGATCCTCTCAGGCTCACTTCAGGCAGAACTCACCCAGTGCCTTTCCCTACAGGGTGAGTGCAGCCCCACACTGCTGACTGTGGCTACTTGGCCTGTTAGCCATACTTTGTACGGGTGATCACTCTTCCCTTCCCGGAAACGTACCGCTGTTTGCCGAGTCCTTGCTTCCCCAATGCTGAAGCATAACACCAGAGAAGCACGCCGAGGCAAGTTTAGAGTGGAAAGTAGAAGCTTTATTAAGGACAGTAGAAAAGACTTCTCCCCAGAGGAAAAAGGGGACCCAAGAGTGGAATCCATGAAAGGGGGGAGGTCTTCCCTCTTTTATAGCTAAGGTCTTCTTTCAGCTTTCCCGCATTTCTGCCCTTTGTTCCGTTTTCAGTGATGAAATGTAGGTGGGAAGGCCCAAAAGGAGGGGCAAATGGGCCAGAGGAGTAATCTGGGCAGGAAGGGCCTGGGGCGGCCTTTGATTAGCACCTCTCTGTTTGCTGAGAGCTGCTTCATTAACAGTTCCTTAGGATGGGCTCTGGGCCTTGGGGACATCAACATTTCAATCTCCCTCAGTGCTGTTCTGCTTTCCTGGGCTCCATTCTCTATAATGTCCTCCATTTTATCTATCTTACTCGATGTTAGGCCCGATTGACCTATAACCACACTAACTGCCTGGCTTTAAATCTGGCTCAGAAACACTGCTCGTTCCCCCAGGATCACCCCTGCTCCTGATCCCCTCAGTCCCTCCTTCCATTCCTCCAGTTTCTCCCCATTTCCCTGACCTGAGCATTGTGGTAACTCCTCCCTTGGCTGGGAACACTTCCCAGCTGTCTGCAGTGTTGGTGTCCCTGTCTCCCTAGGGTATTTGTGGACTCGCTTTCCTGCACCTTCCCCAATGGCCCCCCCACCCCATGGGCCTCTGTCATGCTCATAACACCTACATGGATACAGCTGTAGAAGTCAATTTTCCTCCTCTTCATGGGAATGCAGGCTCAGGGCAGCAGTGATCTACTTTGTGTAAATACAGCTATATATTCTGCTCCAGAACCTAGAAGACTGGCTTGCACCCAGCAGCTGCCAGCAAATGCACATTTGTGAATGGCTGCCTGAGGAGGAAGGACTTGAACATAAAATATGAAATAGGTGAAAGTTGTCTCCAGGGCCCTTGGACCACCTGTGGAGCAAGACGGAAAATGATCTGATGCTCTGACCAGCAGCAGTTATGATGCTCCCCTCCCACAGCCCCTCATTGAAATCACAGTGAGCACAACTCCAATGCACAGAGGCATGAGTGATATTTATTTTCTGGGAGGAACTTTAAGCACCATGGCTAAGAGTTACACAACTATGCACAGTGGTCAGAATCCTGAAAATCATTTCTAAACCTCCATCACTTTAGGTAAAAGATAATCTGTAAGGATGAGTGTGGATTATTGAAAGAATACATCTATAAAAAATAAAAACAAAATATTCCTTCTATGCAATTCCCAAGAGAAGATATACAATTAGAACATATTTAATTCATTTTTGATAAACTTTGTAAACTACTTTATGCACCAAGTAAAAAGGTGGTGCTGGGTGTGAAAATGTCCTTGAGGACCTAGTGACCTTCTCCTCATGTACTCTGACACCCTACAGCCTCTGATAATAGTTCTGAAGAGGGTAGAGAAGAAAGTGGTGAAACATGGGCTTTGTCAAGGAAAAGTGAAGCTTTTAAGAGAATTCGGAATCCCCTAAGTGGCTTCCAACATGGTGTAGCCACAGACATTACACCCTGCCTCCTGATTACCTGCCTGGCTCCAGATGTCAATTTGAAAGTGATGCATGTCTAAGCAATATTCAGATGTGGGTGAAAATTATTGACATTGTTGTTCTCTGGAAATGATTCTCAAAGAGTTTATTTACAAAGGAAGAGTACATTTTATTTGTGGTGCCAGTAGGATACACACCACGAACTTCTTTTTGCAGAAATGATGGAAATGCTAAGCCAAGGGTCTACAAATTCTGAAGGCTGGCTGCACATAGGACCCCTTAATAAGCCTCATGGCCTATCATCCTATTCTAATTAGATAATAAAGTGGGGAGAGTCAAATATGTTCTAATGTTCCCACTCTTTGAAAATAGTAGAATATCCTCCATAATCAAGACAAATCAAAGCCCATTCTCACAAATCCGAACAGAGCCACAAAAAATCTAACCCATCTAGAAAAAAATACAAGAGTTCATGTTCAAAAACAAGAAAATATGCACATTATGTCTGGCAATGGTGCTTTGAAGAATATTTATTAGGCCTGTGGTATATTTTCTGGGACCTCTAAGCGACTTTCTTAAAATTTTGAGGAAGTGTGAATGAGAAATTGTTAATTGTTAATTCCTCTAACTCCTAAGGGTGCCCCTGTCAACACGTCCAACCCTGTCATCCTTATTCACTTGCAGAAATTTTAGCATGTTTTTCCACATTGTGGGATGGGATTCCTCCCAATGATAGGTCAGGTCTGAATGTCCTTTGGATGGACATTTATTCATTTAACATAAATCATTTAAGTCGGTTTCCATTGTCACTGGAATTCTGCTGTTAGCTTTGTTGGAGTGAAGGGATTCCTATGGTTTCCCAAACTCTTCTCATTCCTCCTTCCTTGATTAAGGTTATTCTGATAGCATATGGGGAAGGTAGAGGCTAAATAATCTTCAAACGTTTTAAGCAAGAGACTCATCATCTTCCCTTATTGCTAACAAGTAGTACTGAGAAATTATCCCCTCTGCATGCAGCAAAAACTCACACTCTTGTTTTGTCTCTTCTTCTTCATGAGCTATTGCTTCACAAAGTTGAACATACATGTCATTGAGCTCAGTTACATAAAAGAGTTAAAATACACAGAACCTACGACTCCCTGGTATTGGAGGTGCTAAGGTTAAATGGTTGACCAACTTATTTGGACTCTCGTTCAGGCGTTTGGCACTACAAAGGCACTGTAGGGCACATTTAATTTTCTAGATGAAGCATAGGTGCTTCTTTTGGACTATTTGAAGCAGTCTCATCTTTGTTGAGGACCTCCTGGGTATAAGTCACTGTGCCAATCTGGCTGGCCACCACATTCACAGCTGGTGTTTCCCACACGTGTCTCACCCTGAGTCAAGCCCGAGGAAAGAACACTTGGCTTAGAGGGACATGAGGGGCACTGAGGTTGGTCCACTGGAGGGGCTGCATTCCCTCAACCTCACCATGCCATTTCCAGTCACGTCAAGGGCCTCCCGGGTCTACACTGCCAGACACCCATTCGCTGGCGAGGTCCAACAACACCCACGGACGAGCCCAAGGCGATTCCCACCTCCCACCATTGCTACTGCCCTTGTGCTGGCCCCTTCCCCAGCACCTTCTTCACCGCCTCTTTCACGTCTTTGTTTCTCAGGGTGTAGATCAGGGGGTTCACACTGGGCGTGACGATTGTATAGAAAAGAGTGAGGAACTTGCCCTGGTCCTGGGAATAGGCGTTTGCTGGCTGGAGGTACATGTAAATGATGGTGCCATAGAAGAGCCAGACGACAGCCAGGTGTGAGCTGCAGGTGTTGAGAGCCTTCCTGCGCCCCACCACTGACCTGATGCGAAGCACGGCTCTGGCGATGTAGCCATAGGAGGTGAGGATGAGCAGCAGGGGTGTCAGGATGATGAAGATGGCCAAGGCGAAGGCCAGCGCCTCGAGGGTCGTGGTGTCTACACAGGCCATGCCGATGAGAGCCGGCATCTCACAGAGAAAGTGGTCCACCCTCCTGTGCCCACAGCGGGGCAGCAGCAACGTCTGGGGGGCCATGATGAGAGAGTTGCTGAAGCCGCTCAGCCAGGCTGCAGAGGCCAGCTGCCCACAGAGGCGCGGGTGCATGATGACCGCGTAGTGCAGAGGCTTGCAGACTGCAACGTAGCGGTCATAGGCCATGACGGCCAGGAGCACGCACTCCACGCCTCCCAGGGCCAGGACGAAGTAGAGCTGGACGGCACAGCCCACGTAGCTGATGGTCTTGTCGGGGCCCCCCAGGTTGTAGAGCATCTGGGGGATGGAGCCCGTGGTGAAGCACACGTCCAGGAAGGAGAGGTTGGCCAAGAAGAAGTACATGGGCGTGTGCAGCCGGGCGTCCAGGGCGGACAGCAGGATGATGGCCATGTTGCCCAGAAGCGTGAGCAGATAGAAGGCGAGTACCACCACAAAGAGGCCCAGCTCCAGGCGGGGGCGGTCAGAGAAGCCCACCAGGATGAAGCCCTCAGAAGAACTTGCGTTCTGCCTGCCCATCACCTGCCCCCACACGTTACCTGTTGGGAGAAAGCCCCCGTGAGCTGCAGGCACAGGTCTTCAGGACGGAAGGCGCGGGAGGACCGGGGCCGCCCTCCGATCTGCAGGACGCTTGGCCCAGGAGTTCCACAGTAGGACCACTCACAGTCTGGTCAGAAGAGCACAGTATATGGAGTTTGGGGGGCCTCCTGTCTATGATGACATACCAACATGTTGCATCATTCTGTTCAATATGGCAGGATGCAAAGAGTCACTTTCAAAAGGTGATGATTTTACAAGGATTAAGCACCCAATTTTTTTTTCTACTTGTTTTCTTTTTAAAGGGAAAGTATCAAATTCTCCTAGTCATCTGTAACCCTGGGTAGGAGAACTGGCTTGTGTCACTGAATCAGAAAACCACATTTGCCATCAGGTGGAATCTCATTCTAAATGGTGTGTCATCCTGAGAAGACTGGCATCAGATCCAAATCCAATTTCAGGAAGAAGAGTCTTACTTCATTGTTATTTTATCTGTAATGGATTCCCATCCTGCTGGATGTGGCAGGACCCCGATGCCCACATCAGAGAAGCTGGTAACAGACAGCTCACCTCAAACCCCACAGCCCTCTCCCCAGCCTACCCCAGAGCTCTGTGGTCCATTGTGCTTCATACCATGGAGGTGTTTGCTACTGCTGGGACTGCTTCCCTGAGGAGAGGAAAAAACCAATTCCCAGGGCCAACCCAGTGGGACTGAGGCTTCGCGTCTTCTGCTAGCCCCTCCTTTAACAGGCTTTGTTCTCTGCTCCCAGGAGTCCTGCCTTGATCATTCATTTATCTTTCCTGATACCTTTAGAGAACTAGCGGTTTTCTATCTTCTGTGACACTTTATATTCTCAGTTACCTGGCAGTGGATTCATGTCTTAGGGTGAGTGTGCAGTATCATGTAGGTCAACCATAGGCAGAACCCCAATTACTAATATTTTTTAAATTTTTCCAAAACAGGTAGTAAAAAGTAATTGGGTCTGACTTTTATTAAGAAGAAATATTTTTTTATCTCTTGGGTACACTGGGGCACAGAGTGGGGTTCAGATCCACTGCTTCAGGATGCTTTGCCAGGATTACATCACATTGGCGTGTGTTCCGCAATGGTTATAAGATATTGTGCATTAGAACTGACATTTGCCAGAATTGAAGGATTGCCAAGGTCATCCTTGCAGAGGCTGAGACAAGCTTCTACAGGGGTGATGAGTGGATTGACAGCATTAACAATATCTAATTGGGTAGAGAATGCTTTGATTTGCTAACTGAGGGCCCATCCATGTTGTCTGTCCAGCGTGTCAGTACGGGCTTTCCCTTCATCTCCTGTAAATTGAAAATCCACAAGAATGGCATTAAGTGATAGTTCAGAGGGAACATACAGGTATGTGCAAAGGAGCCAGGAGGGCAGGTGCCAAAGGTAAAGAAGCCAGTGCCTCTGCAGAGGAAACCCATCAAAGCCTGGGACTTACTCTCTTTTGTTTCTTTAAAAATCACTGTTTGGAAGCAAGACCATGGAGGAATAGCTGTTCATTCTGAGTGGCAGAGTATATGTATTGTTTCTATTAGTCTTAGTAAGTTTCAATATGTTTTGAAATTTCAAAATATGAAAGAAAAATAAAACTATGAATTTCAAGCCACTTAAATATTAGCCTGGCTAATATTGTGTCCCTCTTATGAGCTATGTATAGGTACAGTCATCCACCCCACTTTTTCCTCAGCTGGCCCAGGAGGCGGGCACTTTCACTCGTCAGCTGTGCTGGTCATGCTGCTAAGCCAGGAGGGTGAGGGATTAAGCTCCAGTCCTGCAGTCTCACCCCACGTCAAGGTGGGCAGCAGAGCAATTACACCAGACCTGCATGTAAGAAAGCTAGCAAGTCGAAGACTGCAACTCAGGTCTTTTGATTTGTTGCCCAAGATATAATAAGAGTTTTCCTGCTTATAAGTTGGACGAGGCAGGTAGGTAGCTGGCATGGCAAAGAGGCAGACAGAAACCACATTTTTACTCAGAAAATGAGGAATGTGATCAAAACTTGCTTGCCAGGTGGTGTGAATATGGAATGCATTGGTGCTGTCTGTCAGATCATCACTCACAGGAGGAGGTGCAGGAGGACTAATTGATAGTGACCATCTTGTTCTGGAATGTTCCTATGACATGTATAGGAATGACCATCAGGCACACTACAGAATGAAAGTAAGTTCTTTTCTTTCTTGATTCTCAAATCAACCAAGATTATCCAAGGATGATTGTCCTTATGAGTTTTTCATTCTGACTCAGTTTTCTGGTGGTTAGACCAGCCAGTCTGTCGGCCTTGCTCCTCGGGTCCATCACTGTGGACCTTTACCAAGAGTCCTTCTGTGAGACCTGTATCCTGCCTTCTTGGGCCTTAAGAAACCCATGGCCAATTCCTTTGTGGGCCAATAATATTATTATTTTAAATGGTATGTGAATGTGTTTATTCTTGTTTGAGCCTAAAGAAGTGTCTTCTATATACAGTGGCTCGACAGTTCTTCACAAGGGCCACCACAGGACCTATTTAATGATAGTGAGGTAGTTTACCACTTCTGGAATTTCAGTGATCTCCATTGTTACGAAAACAAGATAAACTGGTTCGTGCTCTGTGACTTCTGGATCCTTGAGCACATAATTTAAGTCTCACAAGAATTTTTTTTAAAATGAATCAAATAACTCTCCAATATTGACTATTATCTATTTAGCTTGCAAGGAGCTATACAGGAAGTTTGCTGCATCAAGTCCTAAGGTTAAGGCAGGTATGAGTGCCAAAGATCTGCTCATTCTGTGCCCAGGGGACATGAGGCCATGAAAAGTCCCAGGTGTCCCAGATTCTCCGTAATGAAGTTTAGCATCCCAGAGATGCTCAGTATGCACAATTACTAAGAGTTCATTATTCAATATGCTCAGAAAGGATAATAACTAGTATTTTCTATTCTTAAGATTTCCAAGTTCAGTAGATTCTATGACTTTCTAAATTCATTTTTTGGGGGCTGGGGGGAAGAACTCCATTAATGAGCTCAAAAATCTCCAGCTTCCTCACAGAACTTATACCAGGATCTCTAAGATGCCATCAAACCTATGAAAATAAAGTGCTCAGACATCTCGAGTGTAAAGTATTGGCATAATAAACTTCATTGCCCTTGACTGGACTGTAGGCCAAGGTTCTACGGGTTAGATCAGCTGGAAGTGCAAAGACCTGGGTCACTTTGCTTCCCGCACAGGATGGTTAACTCACCACATTTGACTGAGCCTTTAGAAATGCCACATCCACAGCTCTTTCTCTTTCTCAGGAAGTCACTTGAGAGTCCAAGTGGAAAGACCCGAGAGCAGGAAAGGACAGGAGAAAGCTGGCACTTAGCAGATCGAGGAGGAGGGGAAAGACTAGGCCGTGCAGGAAGGAGGACAGGGCGCTTAAGCCACCTGATCTGCCAGGGGGCGCCTGCAGGTGCACCAGCTCCTGCCCCAGCGCAGCAGCCAGAGGAGGAGTAGCCTGAGGGAAGCAGTGTCTGTGCAGCACAGGGGCACTGCAGAGCAAAGGACTCAGACTGACAGACAGAACTAGCTGTGGCACCAGAGCTGATTAGGCTGGCTGCTTCCTCTCCTGCCTCACTCTTGGGAGTGGAACTTTTTTTTTTTCTTTTTCTTTTTGTTTTTTTCATTTAAAAAATCCCCTTAGCTAATTATCCATAACAAGGGCTGGGAGAGGGTGTAGTCTCTGAGGAGATGTCTATTCCTAGCAAGCCTCCACAGGTCCACCCCAGAGAGGACAGCGCCAGGTTTCCTCACCAGCGACTTACCCACCGCTGGGAACAGCGAGCCCCAAGGCACAGAGTGGCTTTCACACTCCCTTCAGAATGCATCCTGTAATCACAGAAAAGAGCCACACTTGGCCTTGTTGAGTGGCTTTGTTGATCTTTTCACCTCCTGTGGCAAAGCAGGGTGGACGTCCATTGGCTTTCATCACTGTGTGTACTTGAGGTTATTTCCTGTGCAGATCTGCAACAATAAAGCTTAGTTGGAATGCTTTCTATTTAAAACAGATATGGAGGGAAGGAGGATGGATTAAAAAAGAAAAAAAAATTGATTTTGATATTTTAAATCAATACAAACACTTGGTCAAAACATTAAAATAATTTTATCTCAATTTGCCTAATTAGGTATAAAATTATTAACATCTCAAATATGTCTATGTGACTGACAATGACCTTATCTAAGCATTAGAAAATATTAACTGCTTTTGGTTAAAAAAGAATACCAGTATTCAGTTCACGTTACTACCTGTTAGTTACAAGGCAAACAGTATCTAAACATTTGTGTATCAAAAGTAAATATTCTATATTTACCTGAGACTTCTAAGGGAGAAAAATTGCACATTTCATCTCTGTGGCTAAAGATCCTGATTGTACACATGAGATACAACATAAATGTGCTTTGTACATTTTAAATATTAGTTAAATTATAATAATAGTAATTACTGTTAATGATGTCCTGTGATCTACTGAAGGCAGTGACAATTTCTGGGTACTTTCATCAAGTAAAAACAAATTATCTGGCCATTGCCAGTCAAACCTGCTTTAACATTAAAAATCTTTAAATTCTTATCACACAACCTGAACACCATGAATCACGCTGCTTGGATGGGATGTGTCAGCTAGAAACAGTGATGATACCCTGATGAAACACTAAGACGGGCAGTTGAGACCAGTCAGTCCCAACTTTGTTTCTGAGCTCACTTTTGGTCACAGGTGGATGAAGTTTCCTGGAGAGCTGACTATAACACTGGGCCTCAGGCGTTAGCCTGCCCTGTCATTTTTTCGGCCCTCATTTTCACACAGAAACTTGTACCAACAGCTGGAGAATTACGTGCTCTCGTGAACTACTTTATGAGTCCTCATGAGGAGATTGGTTCTGTGAAGGATGTGATTCAGAAGCAAGCTTCAGTTTCTTTCCATCTCACTTCTGCCGCTTGTGCTCACAC